AGAAAGAGAGGAGACGGGCGTACGGTGGTTAGCCTGTACTGCACCCAGATGCGATCCGAGCGGAAAGCTTCCGAGTCGTGGAATCCCTTCGAGGAGCCAGATTCTGAGGACTTATCGATTCCACACGGGTTCCCACTCCCGCTGTGGCTGGGATGGCCCTTACTCGGCACGCTTTCGCCGAGGGTCGAACCTTTGCCCCTAATGGGACCCCAGTGCCGAGTCATCGTCACCCCCAGTCCAATGGGACAGCGTTAACCACTAGACCGTTCGTTCATCCACGAGGGTGCCCCGTTGAAAAGACGGGTTTAAGTTCAACTCCAAGAGTGCGACCGGTTCAGAAAAATGTGACTGGGATGGGAGATTCGAACCCCTGGCCTGTGCCGCAGGCGGCCGACTCTCTACAGGCGCGGCTACGGCGCCACAATGTGAGTGGCCGGGCGACCTGGGCTACACGAGTCACCGCAGTAGCTTGAGCGGGAGAAGAAGCGGTTCCATCACGACACCCTCTCACCTGGCGTTTCGAGACCGGCCTCGTAGCTCATTGATATCGCTGCTAGGTTTGAACCGTGAGTCGGGGGTTCTAATACTCGACGCGCCGTCAAATTATTCGTTTTAATGTTTGAATTTTTACGCACTGTACGAGAAGCTCGACTAGTCGGCAACCCGCGCTGGGGTTCTCATTCTCATGTCGTAGAAGGTGACGCATCATGGCCAAAGTTCATTTTTTAAAAAAACCTCTCGGTCAACAACACTGGGCTACTGCCGTCGTTCATCCGCGACATTCTCTTTTGACAGCTGAGGATGGGTCCAGCGCCGGCCCGGCCAGCCCGGCCCAGCATGCCTATTGCCGCACGCTGCTGCTGCCTCCGCGGCCCGGAGCTCGTAGTGCTTGAGCTGCTGCAGCAGCGGTCTTCAGTGTGTCAGGGTCGCCCGCCGAGCTGGCTGGGCTTGGCTCTGCGCTGGGCGGGCAGGGCCGGGCGGGGGCCTCCTTAGGCTGCGTCCGCTGCGTCCGCTGCGCCCGTGTGGGGAAGTGGAAGTGGCGAGCCGTCCCGGGGGAGCGAGTGCGTCGGAAACGGGTTCAAGTCTGCGCACCCACCTGCCCCGCCCGC